ACCTTGTTCAGATCGGCCTTGAGGGCTGCCAGGATCTCCTTCTCCTTCTCCTGCACCATCCTCTCCAGGGCCTTCAGCTGCCGAATCCTGAACTCCAGCGGGCGGCTCCGGCCCGATTTGAAGGCGGCCCTGGCCCGGCCCACGATCTGCTGCATCCTCTCCATGGCTGTCAGCGCTGAGGGGACACCGGTGACACCAGCTCACCGCGGGGCTGTGGAACTCCACTGTGAGGTGTCCCACCCCAGGAAAGGCTGGGAGATGTTCTCCTCCCTGGAGAGGAGCTCCTGCTCCCAAGCTGAGGAGCTCACAGCCTCCAAGCCCCCATCCCACTGACATGGGCAGCAATCTGGGGCTGGGTGATTGATCCTGTTCTGTGGGTGCTTTCTCTACACTCAGGGCACCCTCAAACCCACAGCCACTCCACTCTCTGCTCATGGGGATGTTCCCAAGGAGACAAATCACAGAGATGACCACGGCCTGGGTGGGCAGCCAGCTGGATGCAGGGCTGTGTGTCCAGAGCCGGTCTGCACCATCTGCCCCATAACCCAAACACTCTCACATTGTCACAAAACCACAACAAAACACTGCAGAGCTTTCACAATGCTTCCCAGGAGCAGCATTTCACTTTTTAGCCAGGACCAGAGGTCTGATCATCCATCCCTCCCCAACCAAACAAGGCACCAAGGTCCCCTCACAACGATTAAACCCTTCCCTTCCCAGCCCACTGCCTCAGCTGCGTGACACAGCCCGAGAAAGCAAATGACTCACTGAAAAAAAGAAGGAAAAAAGCAAGGTACCTTCAGAGAAGCTTCTCTCCCCACCAGCCTCCCGTGGCGAGTGMGAGCAGGCACAAGCCCTTCCCCTGCCATGGCTGGGGGCGATCCCTCCTCCCACGAGCGGAGGGCTGGCCCCAGCTCAGAGATCCCGGCTGGGTAGGAGCTGCCCTTTACCCAACTCTGTCCTGCGCTGTGGAGCCCTGCATGGCTGCACCCAGCCTGGCAGTGACTCAGCCCCAGCGTGGGACGGTGGGGACCGCGTGGCTTTGCCCACGCCGGGCGCACGAGGCCTGGGATGTGGGGCTCACATGCCAGGGCTGCTGTTGGGAAAAAACTCGGGATCTGAAACACCCCAAACAGGCAGGTGGCAGGCAATCCAGGCATGGGTTTGCAGGGGAAACACAGGCCAGCTCCTCTGCTGGCTCACTCCAAAGCCTGCCTGGTTCCAGGAGTGTTTTCAATGCCCACCAGACCCTACCCCACATCCCTGGGGGAACAGACACCTCACAACTCATGTGTGCCCTTCAGCCATGGCCAGAGCTGGGACCAGCAGAACAGGACTCCTCAGGAGACTGCAAGGACTAAACCACGCTCAGTTTATTACTTAAATTCTTAGGGTTTATTTAGTGCTTGCAAAATGTATCATCAAAAAGGCTTAGCACATGGATTTTCACCAGACATGAAGAAATCCTACTTATTGCACAGTAAATATRATTTTCTACTTATATTAATGGCATTTAGTAATAATGCTTTAATTGACTTCAACATTAATAATTCTAAGGCTCTTTCACTTTCAATTCCTTCAGCATCCTTCCCCCAAGCTAGAACAAGCCCCACATTATCCCCCAGTGTAGGATCACAGCATCCCGAGAAGCTCGAACACGAAGGAGCACACACACGTCTCTTCCAGGAATTGTTTTCCCTCGGAGGAATCTGACCAGGAACAGCTTTGTGCTGGCTTTGGCTGGGGTGAAGTTAATTTTCATGGCAGTCACTAAGTTCCTTCATAGCAGGATGGTGCTGTTTTGGATTTSTGATGTTGGGAGTTCTGGTGTTTGTCTTCCCAAGTCACCAGCCGGTGTGATGATGCCCTGCCTTCCTGGGAATGGCAGAATGCCTGCCTAATGAGGGAAATTAACAAACTAATCCCTTAATTAGCTTTAATATGCCTGCAAGCCCAGCTTTCAGTTCATCTATTCAATTCTCCTTTTCTCAACCTACAAGTTTTCTCACTCTGATTCTCCTCCCCATCCCAATGGGATAAGGGAATAAGGGGCTGGGTTAACCCACAAGGAATGTGTCATTCCCACTTCTCTGAAAGGGCCTGAAAATTCTTTTACACCAGCATCAGACACTCATCAKCACCACACAGGCAGTGCAGGCATCACCACTGGAATTTTCTAACTGCAAAAAGTAACTGTTAAAGGCACATGATGAAACCCAGAACCCAGCAAGCACCCCCTGGCCAGCTGGGGATGATTCTGGTTTGCAGAGATCCCTGAATGTTTCACCTCAATCAAATGGCAAAGGGAACCTCTCTGGGTTTATCCACAGCCATCCCTTTTGGGCTTGTCACCGAGAGGGTGGAAATTCAGAGCACAACAGGAGACAGACCATCCCCAAGGCTGCAGGGAAAACACTGCCAGCCCCAGGATGGCTGAAACTGCAGCTCCTGTTGGTCGCTGAAGGAAGGTGAGTGGGTTTGGTGTGTCCCTGGAAGCTCTGCGTGGCACGGGGTGGAGGTAGGGACTGGAATTTCTTGCTCTGCAGTCCTCCTTCGGAGAGCTTGTCACCACTGGTCCTTCTGTTCCAGCATGGCTTTTAAGTAAACAGGAATCTGAGCCTTCTTGTGGTTAGTGCCTCTCTAGGGCTACTCTCTGTGCTCGACAGCTCACTGAAATCACCCAGAACAAAAGAAAATAATAACTTCCCAGCTTAAGGAAACAGACACAAAGCCAGCACCCAGAGTACGATTTGCACATGGTGCCTTCTCCTCTCTTCATCAGTAAAACACCTGTGAAAGCAAAACACAACACCAAGGTCCTGTGAAGGATTTGCTGAGACAAAACCAATTCCATTTTAAATGAGCCTGAAGCAAAGCCCCAGCAGCTGGTGAATTCCCCAGGGTGCAGCTCTCCTGCCTCCAGCCCCTCAGCATGCACTGGTTATCTCGGATGCTGGGGAAAGCATCGTGCTCTGGCTCAGATGGAAACCTCCTCCAAGCCCCACAWTCACTCATCTACAAAGCTTTCCCAGGTCTACACACAGGAGAAGAAAAAGGCTCCTACCTCACCGTGACAGCCACAGCAGTGCTCTGAAACCTGCTCCTCCTTACCACCCGCTGGGCCAGCCCAGCCTCTGCACAGCCAGCACAACCAACAGGGCTTTTCTCTTCAGCACAGACTGGTGGCTCTGAGAAACCCAAATGATTTCAAGATGCCGTGAGTTTCCCCCGCCCCTTCATCCCCCTACACAGGGCCTGCCTCCCTGGCTGCTGCCTCCAGGCCTGAGCTGGTTCTTAGCTCTTACATTCCCTCCTGGATTATGTGGGCAGGGATTTCTCCTGGGATGTTGGGCTCCCGAGTGTCTCCCTGCAGCAGTAACAACATAGACTGAGGGGCAGAGTCCTGATCCATCCTGACACCTCCTGTCCCTGCAGGAGCTGCTCCCTCAAGCTCACCAAACCCCGTGGGGCAGCCAAGGAAGGCACCACACAGTGCCTGGTTTGTCAGACACGGAGAACCAACAGTGATCACGCTCAGAGATTCAGATCGTGCTTCTCCATCTCAGGAGGCACCCTGAGCCTGCAGCAAGCCTCTGCCTCCTGCAGACAGGAGAGGACATCCCACCCTTCCGCACTTCCCAGCTGGAAACCAGGGAGGAAATAGGAATAATTGAGCTGAGGTCACACAGGGGCTGCAACGGGCAAGGAGGAACAAGAGCTCCTAGCAGACCCTGGCTTTGGGACAAAGCTTTCTGTTCCAAGGTGCCATGGCACAGACTGCAGCTCTCTGAGCTGTGAGGCAGCTCAAATGCTGTTGAAGGAAGCCCTGGAACTGAAACCACTCCTAACCAGTCCAAAACTACCAATCTCTGCCTCTGGAGGGAGCATCCCATGGGTGTCACCTACCAGGGAAGAGCACAGGGAGTACAGCAGCCTGGGAGATCTCTCCAGGAATATTTCTATTCTACAGACCACTTGCAAGAGTGAGAAGGTAAGAATTTAAGGTGGGTCAGGTATCAGAAGTCTCAAGACAGAAAAAGAGGTCAGGCTTTAGGAAAGGGCTGCATTTGCCAAGAACTGATCAGGAAATCACACATTCACTGCCACAGACAGCAAAGACCCCAAACTCACCTTAATCATCACCGCTGTCACAACCCCCAGCAGGGCCAGGACAAAGAGCCCGATCCGGGCCTTGTTGAAACGCTTCAGGAGGAAGAACTTGGCCCAGTCCACCTTCTTCTGGCTGCCAGGTGGGTACCGCATTTTGTTGGTGCTCTCCATCTTCAGGTCCTTGATGAGGCAGGCGCGGCGGTGSGAGAAGGTCTCRAAGCTGTGCTTGCCGTGGTAGGCGCCCATCCCGCTGTGTCCTGAGGGACACAACCACACAGGTCACACCTCTGGTCACCTGGGGACAGCTGACCCTTCCCCTGCAGCACCTCTCAGTCTCTATGATGTCCATCTGTGCTTCAACCCTCTTCCTCCTCACCTCATTTCCCCCCGCAATTACTGCCCATCACTYTGATTGCAGCTAATGGTTTTAATGCGCCTTTCATATCAGGCTGCACTAAACACTTCAGGCTTTCCAAAAACACCCAGACTTTTTTTCCTCCTGTCACCTCTCCCAATGGACTCCCAGAGCTTATCAATACTATCAAGATCTGCTGCACAGAGATCCTTGGGTTGTAACAGGGATACCCAAACAAACCATGAGCTGTTGTTCCCAACACTTAAGGAGCTCCCCTAACTCACCAACACCACCAAAAGGCAAAGTTGAGAGGAAGAAATGCATAATGACATCATTTCCAGTCACACCCCCACTGGAGGTTTCTGAGATGACTCTCTTGATTAACTAGAAAAAGAAAAAAAAAAAAAACAAAATATTATGAAGGCTCAAAAAAGGTACCAGATGGTGCAACTGAGGATATTGAGAAGGGAGCTACATATCAACAGTGTGCATCTCCTCTGGCACAGCCCAGACCCACCTGCTTGTTGTTGGAGAAGACATACAGGGCAAGGGGCTTCTCCCGATGGTTGATGAACTCAATGGCTTCATCCACGCTCCTCACATTCACAATGGGCAGGACTGGCCCAAAGATTTCTTCCTCCATTACCTTTGACTCCGGGGAAACATCCGTGAGGATGGTTGGTGCTGAGCAAACAGGAGAATGGGAGAGCGGTGTGAGCGGGACACAGACCCCAAAAAGCACCCAGTGCCACCTCCCCACCCCAGCAGCTGCCAGGAGCACCTATGAAGCAGGAGGCCTCATCAGTCTCTCCCCCATGAGCAATCTTCTGCCCTTCCAGCAGGGTCTTGACCCTCTTGAAGTGACGTTTGTTGATGATCCTTTCATAATCCGGAGATGACTTCACGTCGTCCCCATAGAATTCCTGACAAAGGGCACAGAACAAAGTGCTCAACAAACCTTCCAACAGCCACAGCTCCAGGGAATCTCACCTAGGACACTCCCCACAGCACCAGGGTCTCCTCCCTCACCTTCAGGGTTGCCTTGATGTTCTCCACCACCTTGTCCTGGATGGATGGGTCACACAGGATGTAGTCTGGGGCGATGCAGGTCTGCCCACAGTTCATGAACTTGCCCCAGGTTATCCGCCTGTGGGAGAAAGGGAGACAATTTCTCCATGGTCAGTCCCTTCCACACCTCACAGCCCAGCTGGCAGCACCTGAGCTGCAGATACTGGCCCAGAGATGTCCCCCTGTCCCATTGCTGAGGGCCCAGCAGAGGTGCAGTGGCCTGACCTGCAGGCGACAGCCAGGTCACAATCCTTGTCGATGTAGCAGGGGCTCTTCCCACCCAGCTCCAGGGTGACAGGGGTCAGGTGCTTTGCAGCTGCTGCCATCACAATTTTGCCCACTGCGGTGTTGCCCGTGTAGAGGATGTGATCAAATCTCTGGGTCAGCAAATCAGTTGTCTCAGGAACTCCTCCAGTGACCACGGGGTACAGCTCCTGCAGGGCAAACAGAAGCCAGAGTGTTATCTTGAATCAAAGCACTTACCAAGGCAGCAGCTCTGCATGTGGGTTATTATTATTATTATTATTTGTGGGCTACTTCACAATAGGGATAAAATGTATTGATAACAGAGATGTGCTCTGCTCCTTCCTCTGAAAGGAAATTTCATTTCCTACTTTGTGCCACAATGAAGCAAATGCAATGGAAGCTGAGGCCAGGGCTGAGTGTGGCTGCRGAGCTGCTCCCACACAGGAAGGCTCAGGGCACACATGACTGTCAGGCTCTCRCAGGGGCTGTCTCCTTCCTCTGCTCCTGCCTCCCACCTGGAGAAGGCGCTAACTCCCYGGAGGAAACTCCACGGCCCCCATGCAGTCACAGCAGCAGTCTGTCTCAGTGACACAGCACAAGGCAAGAGGAGGAGGAACAGCACATCCTCCTACCAGTGCAGTTCAGCAGGACAGAAAATCGCAGGACRTATTGCCACGAACACACAGTGCCCAGTTCACAGGAAGAATCAGGCATAGCCAGCATCCTACACAACCTGTGCTGGCCAAAGGGCATYCCCAGCACAGCTCCCAGAGAGCAGSTGCTGYAGTGAGAAGCACATACACAGCTCTCCATATGGCCATGGGTGCAAAAACACTGTCAGGTCGCAGGAGCATTATGTAAGCGTGTACACAAACACGGTGAATTTATCAAAGTACCTTTGGACTCTAATTTAACCCTTGCTGTGCCTCCTGCTTATGCTCCTCTAAAGAGAGCAGGCAATGGATTTGGCTCAAAGCTGCAGGAGCCCTTTGGAAGCAGGACAGGTCAAGATGGTCATGTTAGGCACGGGGTCTCACTCACCTTGTCCAGGTACTGCGGGAGGAGCTCGGCCACCAGCCGAGCCGTGTTCTCGCTCACCTCCGACGGCTTCACCACCACGGCATTGCCTGCAGGGCACACACAGCTCAGACACTGAGCCCTCACAGCCTCCCCCACGGCCCCACRAGGGACAGGGCCAAAGCAGGGCCTCACCTGCTGCGATGGCCCCGATCAGGGGCTGCATGACCAGCACAAAGGGGTAGTTCCAGGCCCCGATGACCAGCACCACGCCCAGCGGCTCGTAGCCAATGTAGGCCTCATCTCTCATGGTCAGCAGGTTCTTCTTCACAGGCTGAGGGGCTGCCCACGATGGCAGCTTCTCCATGGTCAGGGCCAGCTCCCCCAGCACTCCCAGGATCTCGTGGCTGTAGGCGTTGTGCCCACACTGCAAGGACAGGGATCCTGAGGAGGGGATGGCAAAGACACCCAACTCCCACAGCCACCCTCACAGCCCTGCTGCTTCTGCCACTGGCAGCGCTGCCCCAAAGCATCCCTGGCCAAACACAGTCTGGGTGTGTGACGCAGACCCCAAAATCTGACAGCCAGGGTTTGCTTTTGCAGCCCTGCTTTAGACTAACTCCTTCTTAGAAATGATGGCAGCGGACCTTAGCAGGCCACAGTGGAAGCCAGGGGCGAGGGGTACAACAGCAAAAGCCATTTAGCACAGCAAAGGCTGCCCTGGGCCTTCCCTCTTTCCCTTGAGGGCTGACCACTGTCCGTGCAYGGCTGATGGGAGAAACTCCCCGACCCACACCTTGTTCAGATCGGCCTTGAGGGCTGCCAGGATCTCCTTCTCCTTCTCCTGCACCATCCTCTCCAGGGCCTTCAGCTGCCGAATCCTGAACTCCAGCGGGCGGCTCCGGCCYGAGTTGAAGGCGGCCCTGGCCCGGCCCACGATCTGCTGCATCCTCTCCATGGCTGTCAGCGCTGAGGAGACACCGGTGACAGCGGCTCACCGCGGGGCCTCCCTCGGCCGCACACAGCCCGGCCCGACCCCAAAAGCACCGGACACGCTCCCACCYTCCAGCCGCACCCCCCGCCCCAGCCCCAGGCTGCGAACACGCCTGTCCCCAATTCTGCCGCATCTCTCCGAAACCTTACGTAATCCCCGAGTTAGAAAAGTTTGGAAAGCAGCGCAGGGCGTTGGCGGCAGCGCGGCGGTGTCACGGAGGGAGCTCCCGGCGGGGCGGAGCGCGGGCTCCGGGGGCGACACCGCGACACCGAGCGACACCGGCGGGGACACGGCGGGACGGGACCACCCCCTCCCCCCTTTCCCCCCCCCCCCCCCCTCCCCTGCCCCCCCCCCCCCCCCCCCCCCCCCCGGGGGGCCCCCCCCCCCCCCCCGGGGAACCGCGGGGACCCCCGAGCGCTACCGGGGCTGAGCCGACAGCCGTGGCGGGGCTGCGATACGGTGGCTGCGAGACCGTGGCTCTCCCCCCGGCCGGTGCCCTCCGCCCCGGGCAGGACCCTCCGCCCCCGCGGCCCCTCCGCCCACCGGGGTCGCCGCCGCCGCCGCCGCCGCCGCTTCCTCTTTCCGCTCACATGACGGAAGCGGAACGGGCGAGGCTGCGGGGCCGGAGAAAGAGGGGGGAAAGAGCGGAGCGGGTGAAGGACGCGTCCCCACGGCAGCCCCCGAGCAGGGGGTACCGCCGGTACCTCGAGTGCCGCCGTCGGGGCCGCTCCTGCCGTGCTCGCAGCGCCCGGTGCTCGCTGAGGCTGTCGCAGTCCGAATGTGGCTGTGCCTGGCCGGTTTTGAAACGCTGCCGGGGCGTGGGGCCGCTCTGCGGGCGGGGGCAGAGTCCCTGCGGGGCCTTATCGGGGCAGGGAGCGCGGAGCCGAGCGGAGAGCGGCGCCCGTCCTGGCCCTGCCCTGCCCTGCCCTGCCCTGCCCCGCAGGCCAAAGGGAGGAAAACTCTGCTGGTTTGGGAGAGCCCGGCCACGATGGGCGAGTTAACCTTGATACAGTCCCGGCGTGGGAAACGAGCCAAAAAAACCAAAAAAAAACAAAAAAAAAAAGCCCTGCAGAAAAGGGAGTTGAGGCAAGGCTGGGCACATTCCGATTAAAAATAGACCTGCCACAACTTGTTTTAAGGAGGACATGGGGATTATTTAAAAATCACGTGCAGGTTGTTGTTACACGCTTCCTTGGTGACAGGGTCTACCCTGGCCATTTATTGCTAAAGTTCCTCGGCTGGAGCTGCACCCCACTAAATCCATGCCCAGCACATCACTGTGACAACACGGGGCTGGCACCCGGGTGCTCCTGCCCAGGAGATGGATGTTCCCGGCACTGAGCACCCCTTCTCCAGCCAAATTTAATCCCATTTCCCACATCAACACAGCCCTCCGAGGCTAGGGCCAGTTGTTGTGTGCAAGAAGCAGCATGGGAAGGAAAAACAGGCTGGGCTTGACCGGTGATACATGGAAAGAAGCTGGGTTTGCATCGAAGAAAACATGGGTAGAAGTAGGAACGTTCCTGATGCAAACTCTCTCCTTGATCCTGTCAGCATCCTTGCAGGCACCGCACTGTCTGCAGGTCTAAAACAAATTAGATGAGGAATTAATACTACGGCAAAGTCTGAGCCCTGAGCATCGAGCATTTCATTTCAAACAGAGCTGCAGTGCACCCAGTCAGGATGACAGCAAGAACAAGGAGGTGAATGGATTCTCCAGAGCTTGTAAAATCCTCACCCATSAGCCCGGAGGGTTTTCATGTCATAACAGTACTTGGCATCACACAATGGARACAAATGTCCCAGCTTCCAGTTATTGCAGTGGTCAGAGGGATAAGCCCTGCAGAAATGAGAGAAGATCCCGGGAGATGTCCCTGAGTCCCTTTGGGTCCTTGTCAGGGACATCTTTTGGCCAGTTAGGGACAAGAAACACAGCTGAGGGTGTTTTTTGTGTTGCAGAGTCTGAGCTGGGTGAGCCATGTGGATTTCAGGGAAGTGTGGGATCGCGAGTGAGACAGAGGAATACCCCGTGCTCCCCACGCCTGGGAGCTGGCAGTGTTTGCTATTTTAATTCAATCACTAAGAAACAATGAAGGGAGCTATTTATGGGAAAGCARTGGAACTCCAGAGGAACTGGGAGGTAAGCAGTGCTGAGGGGGCTCGAATCTGTAGTTACAGCAGGAAGAGGTGTTTTACTGAGAAGCTGAGCTCAAGATTCCCCTTTCCCCTCATTCCCTGTAGCCCTCATTCCCGTCTTGGAGTCGATCAACAGCAATGAGACAGGCTCCTGCCCTGCCCTGGGGAGCAGCCCTTTGTGCTGATCCTTACCCTGCTTCCAAAAGCATCCAGCAGAGCCTGGGCAAGGAGGACTTTGGTTTGGGAGATAAACTGGGCAGTGTTTGGTTTCAAGAGTCCAAATAACCAAAGCTAATCAATAAATGCCCTTTTAGCTCGCACACCACGCTCACAGAACTTCAAGATTTCAATTACAATCCCCAATCTCTGCTGAAATGTCTGCCTGGCCTCAGATTCCAAGTGTTTTTCAGAAATCACAAAACCCAGCCAGTGGCACAAGAGGGGCAGATACAAAGCCCGAACAGCACTYGACCCTAAAAGCGGGTTCAGAAGATGAACAACGGGGAGAGGTTTTAAGGAACCTACAGGAATCAATGCAGCTCAGTTCATTTGTGGCATCACTTGTTTTGAAAGCTGCGGCTGATCTCACATTCGCAAGAAGGAGATACTGTGTCACACAGAGCCCCGAGTCTGTGGGCTGCATTGTGGACATAGTTCAGGCCACGGAAAATGCGAAAGGGACACAAAGAAACAATGGGAATGATTGGCACAAGGACTGCAGCGAGACTCAACAGCCCCRCTGGCACTCGGTTGGCTTTCAGGCAGGGAGGAGGGGGGAGCCTGCCGTGCACAAAAGCCTTTTGAAAAGGTGTTTGTGCGAAGGAGCGGTGCCAAGGCTCCCTTCAGCTGGGCTCCAGCTGACTTGGAGACCTCAGCAGAGGGGTTACCCTGGCGGATTCACTCCTCCGCAGAAAGGAGGAGCTGTGGGGGCACTCTGGAAAAKGCCACGGCCCGGCTGTGCCTCACTCCAGACAGCGAAATTGAGGATGAAAAAAGATTTGCTTAAAGACTTAAAAGGCATCCTGGTCAGTCAAAAARGATAGTAGCAAGCAGAGCTCAAAGACAAAAAAAAAGTCAAAGGATCAAAATTTAAATTAAAAAATCCCGAAAAATAGGAGAGGAAGCAGAAATCAAAAAGGAGGTGGGTCACAAGTCAGGTCACAAGCCAGCCTRTCTGAATTTCAAAGCCTCAGCAAGCTTTGGAAGCAGCAGCATCCAGCTTTCCCTGCTCCAGACGAAGAGCAAGCTTCCCTTTTTGGTGCAGCTGGGCATAGCACTGTGACATGGATAAATCACAAGTTATTGCCTCTGAACCCTGGGATGAAGTGGTAATAATTTGATGGAGCTGTACAAGATAACGGCAAGAACTGTGCAAAACCCAGGGAGCCCCAGGAACAGCTCACCCCTCAAAATGCTGCTTRGAATAACTTGTAGCTTAGTTGCAAGTTAAATTAACTGGATTTCCTCCCCTATGTCAGAGGAAGGGGTGAGAGTTCAACTTTTTRCTCATGAAAAGCAGCAAATGTCAGAATCAAATCGTGGTTTAGATTCCTTAGTTGACATTTTGCACTACAGAGAGCAGAGCAAGAGCAGAACACTCGAGGAGATGCTGGAGCTAGAAAAGCACATCAAATCTCTCAAGTTCTATCTTTCAAAGGCTGGGGGAAAAAAAAAGAAGTATTTGGTAAAAAACAAGCACCTGGAGAGCCAAAGACAGAGGACAGCTTCAGGAACCTTGCGGAATGAGTTTATGCAGAAAGACAGGCCATGAACATTGGTCTCCTCCTCCTGAAAACAGCCAGCAAGAATAGCCCTTTTCTTCTCCTCCTGTTTGTGCAGCTGTAGCCTTGCTGGCAAGAGGGGAAGGAGAATGAGCTTGAATCCTGAAAGGAAAGAAAGAAAACCAACAAAACCCAGTGAGTTCTTGAGAAAAGCAGCCTATCTCCTAGACTTGTGCACTAAGGCTGCTGCTTTGTTCCTACATTYGGGCTCAGATGTATCATTAGCATTCCCAGCTCACTCCTTCCTCATCCTCTTTATGTGCCACTCACTAGTGGAGGGTTTGGAAATAATAAATTGGGGGGGGAATTTATATTACAGCTCAAAAATACAACAGCCACACAGCAGCTACCACAGCACACCTCAGCTGGGCACAGGATATGAGCTGTAAGGTGAACAAAGCCCGTTCTTGGTAAATTTTGGATAGAAATTGTTAACTTCCTGCCAGCTTTTGTCAATTAGCTCTGTATGTGCTGTTCTGGCAGCCCAGACAGCTCCTCTTTGCTAGAGGCAACAAATAAGCACCTTGTTGAAAGATCATACAGCTGTTACCCAGGATCCTACTTTGCATTTTCGTTTTCCATTCCAAGTTAGAAAAAAAATGAATAAAAAAAAAGMAGCAGCAGGGTAAATTGTCTTCCCAAAGCCAGTGAAAACAAACTCAGGGACACTTTGTGCCAGAGCTATCCAGAGATAATGAACTCAAGGATGCTGCCCCATCCTGCCCTGGTCCAGCTGCTGAGGGGAACATTCAGCAACTTCTTTACCCAAGCAAGTAGAGATTTTTWTCTAAATTTAACACTTCTGGTCACAGAGACACAGCGACTCGATTGTACCATAGAAACACTTCTAGTGTCAGTATTTATTTTTACCTTAATATACATTTATACARGCCATAATAAAAAGGCTATTACGCAACAGTTCAGTGAGTTATTACCTAGTTCCAAGAATAATGCATGCAATTACAAAGGAGAGGTAGAAACACCGTATTAAAGACCTAAAAATACAAACATTATATAAACAAACACTTTCAAATTAACTGTTGGAATTTCATACAGATAAATAAGGTAAAAAGTACATTACTCTGTCAAAGTAAAGGAAACACATGGTTATCCCAACACTGAAACAATATTTTGATGTGTAAGCCCTGTACAACTTTGTCAAATAGTTCAGACCACTGTGTTTTAAGAGGATTAAAATGATTTTGTCCTGGAGAATGGTTTATTCAAGTATTCAAGCAGTTGAGTAACAAAAAAGTCCCAAAAATAAAGTGTAGGAACCATTTCCAGAGAAGCTGATCTGCCTAAATACTTTGCAAATCGCTGTCCTGATGATCTCATGGGATGCTTGAAATGACAAYGCCTATAAGGCTAAATGAAGCTTCCCACCTCTCCCCCAAAATGCACACAAAATAATCCTGATTTTTCACACACTCTGTATGTAGAGATTCTACATCATTT